TTTGGAATCCATAAGGAGAAGATTTTTTTGGGGACATAAGGAGGGGGAAAACAAAATGCATTGGGTCGCTTGGGAGAAAATTATGTGCTCAAAGTCAAATGGTGGTTTGGGAGTTGTCTGTTTAAAAGTTAAAAATGATGCTTTGTTAGCTAAATGGATTTGGAGGTTCCTGTCTAGTTCTAATGCCACTTGGAAAGATGTTATTTCTGAATTTTATGGYGAGGATGGAGGTCTCTTTTCTAATAGGCCTTTGGCTGGAAATAGTGTATTGGTGTCTATAGTCAACACTTGCAGAAATGTGACAGTGGCAAATCAGAATGTCATTCAATCGTTTACGAAACAAATTGCTAAAGATTCCAAYTCTCTCTTTTGGAATGATGCAAGCATTGGTCAAGGGTCAAAGTTGAAAGATATATTTCCTAGACTTTATGCTTTGGAAAGGGATAAAAACGCCGTCTTCAAAGATAGATGGACTTATACTAATGGTTCTTGGTCTGGTGTTTGGGACTGGAATACAACGGTTAGAGGAAGAAGCTTAGATGATCTTCTAGCTTTAAAAAGGCAACTCTYTCAAACGCATTTTAATACTTCGGGCGAGGATGTGTGGTCTTGGAATTGGCACAAAAAARGGATTTTCAYGGTAAACCACATGTCAAAGTTAATCCAAGGGCTTGCTATTTCGAATGGTTCAAGCAATGAACCATGTTTTTGGAGCCCTTTAATTCCGAAGAAGGTAAACATTTTCATTTGGCGCTTCCTTAAAGAAGCCATTCCTGTAAGATTTAACCTATCTAAAAGAGGGATTCAGGTGCAGTCTTTGGAGTGCATCCTGTGTGAAAAAGGTGTTGAAACAATGGATCATTGTTTCTTTTCTTGTTCGGTGGCAAGCATTCTTTGGAGGAAAATTTGGGCCTGGTGGGATCTTCAAGCTCCAGGACTTTCTTCGGTGGCTGATTTCAAAATGCTAATCAATCAAGTAGGATCTCTKCGCAAGGTTGGTGTGATTTTTTTATCAGTTAGCGCTGTGGCTCTTTGGCATCTTTGGAAGTGGCGGAACGAAATTCTTCATGCTGAGGATGGGGTAAATTCTAAAAAAAAAGATGAAGACCCTTTCCCGTGTATTCAAAACGTCTCGAAGCTTTGGATGGGAATCAGGAATCGTAAATTCCATCTTGATTGGGATGTTTGGTCTTCCTCTCCCTATTTTATTTAGTCTTTGTCTAGTCTTTCCGTTTTGTTTGGGATAGGTTTTTACCTTGGTTTTGTTAGGGGATGTTTTCGTCTTTTTGCCCCTCGTCGTGATATTTGGTATTCTGTACTTTTTTGTTTCTAGCTTCTTGCTGGATTCGCTTATGTTTTGTTTAATATTAGTGGTTGGCTTGGTTGAAGGTGATGACCTTGCCGAAGCTCTCTTCCTTGCCCTTCCTTTTGCCTTTCAAAAAAAAAAAAAAAAAGAGGTATCAAAGTGTAAAAAAAGAGTTTCTGAACTAAGAGACCGTTTATCAAACACTTATCTGGTAGTGCTTATTGGTAAAATTTAAAATTATCATTTACTTACTGGGTAAGATTTTAGTCCATCCAAACGACATTGTATGCAATAATTNTATCTGGTAGTGCTTATTGGTAAAATTTAAAATTATCATTTACTTACTGGGTAAGATTTTAGTCCATCCAAACGACATTGTATGCAATAATTTACCCGGTATACGATTACCGTGGTAAGAGTCGTCGCCCTCATTTACCGGGTAAGACTCATGGTCTTTGCCTCGTTCTTATCGGGTAAGTTTTTGATCCTTATCATATTCATCAAATAAGGTAATATGGTTTGATAAGTGCTTACCTGGACAAGCGTTTGATAAATGCTCCTAAGCCTTTAATTATAAGAACCAAATATGTAAATTTGGAATAGGTACGCAAAAATATGTCCACAAATATGTTTTTCTTTAGTCTTTGTAATTGAAGCAGAAACTCATTTTTTTCTGACCCTTCGCAAATTGTGAAACAGTGACTTATGACTATTTTCCTTGGCTAAGATCCTTGTTTCAAAATAGCTATTCAAATTAGTTTCTCTATTTTTTATTCTCGTATTAATATTTTAACATTGCACATAAAGTAAAAAATATATATTTTAAAGATGATAAAATAAAAAATTTAAAAATATAAAATATTATAAATAAAATTTAAAAAATAAATAAAATATAAAAAAAGAAACTTATTTGTATTTGATGTTTTAGAAAAAAATATTAGTGTTTTAATGGGTGTTTGGGGTTGTTTATTTAAACAACTTATGTTTTTTTATAAAAATATTTATCAATTTATTATAAGTTAAAATGATTTAACTTTTTTAAAAACTTCTTATTATTGGTTTGAGACCGGTATAAACTCTCCAAACACTCAAAAAAAATTATTATCATTGTCATACCAAAATAAATCAATAAATTATTTTTATAAGCCCCTTCCTAACTTGATAGACATGGCCCTTGGGTTTTTCTTAGTAACACAGCAAAAGTTAGAAATATAAAATCTCAATCGAGTTCGTGAGGACCCAAATTTCAACCCGCATTTAAATGTTCAGAATTTAACCAACAAGTTTTCTGATTTGGGTCTTCAGCATGATGACATTTTAATCTCTTAGTCAGCAACAAATCTTAGTCATCGATCAACACATGTTGCTCCAAGGGAAACCCACCAAAATTCGATCTTTATCAAACATCGTCAATGTTACCAGAACTCTCACTCCTTCCATACAAGAAGTTGAAAGACCTTCCTCATCGTTGGATGACCGATTCGAGACTCTTCCACCATGCGAACTGGGTAATTCTCTAGATGATGTTACTTACACGAAGCTGGTTCAATCATCCATGCATTTAGGGTGTTCAGTTCATGGGAAGCTCGTTCAATCACATATGGTGAAAACGGGTTACAATCCAGGCTTGTTTTTACATAACACCCTTCTGAATATGTACTTAAAATGCAATGAATCGGATATGGCTCTCCAACTGTTCGACGAAATGGCTGAACGAAATGTTGTTTCTTGGAATTCATTGATTTCTGGGTATACCCGATTGGGTCTGTATTCTAATGCAAAAGAAATCTTTTGCAAAGCTAGAATAGCGAACATCGACATCAACAAGTTTACGTTTGCGAGCATGCTGAGTATCTGTGCTCAAACCAGTGACTTGAAACTAGGGAAGGTTGTTCATGGGTTGCTTATGTCGAGTGGCATAGGTGTAGCTGCGTTTTTGACGAATCCGCTTGTTGCTATGTATTCCAAGTGTGGGAGAGTGGATCAAGCACGGGTTGCGTTTGATCAGTGCGATGGATTGGATGACGTTTCTTGGAACTCGATGATTGCTGGTTACGTTAAAGCTGGTTTACACGATGAAATGCTACAAGTTTTGGTCAAAATGCATCGGTATGGAGTGAGATTTAGTAGCTACGTGTTGGGGAGTGTTCTTAGCGCATGTTGTTTGAATTTTGATCGTTCGTTGGTTTGGGGAAAGTTGCTGCATTCGTGTTCGGTGAAACTCGGTTGGGATCTTGATGTTGTTGTTGGGACTGCGTTACTCGACATGTACGCTAAAATTGGGGATTTGGATGATGCAGTTTCGACTTTTAGTGTTCTTAACGACAAGAATGTGGTCATGTATAATGCAATGATTTCCGGGCTTCTCCGTGGGGAGGAAAATAGTGATGAATACGCCAAAAAGGCGTTAAATCTCTTTGCAGAGATGCAAAGGCACGGGCTTCGGCCTTCAGAGTTTACGTTTTCCACAATTATTAAAGCTTGTATCGCGTGTAAAGATTTCGAATACGGGAAACAAATCCATGGACTTGTTTGCAAGAACAATCTTCAGTCTGATGAATACATTGGTAGCATGCTTGTCGAGATGTACTCGATGTGGAGCTCAACTGATGATGCCTTGAGTTGTTTTGATTCCACCTGTAAACAAGATATAGTGATATGGACGTCGATGATCGTGGGTCATGCTCAAAACGGTGAATATGAAAGAGCACTGGTTCTTTTCTGCAAACTGCTTTCTTCTGGATTGAAACCAGACGAGTTCACGATTTCGACCATGCTGAGTGCTTGTGCCAATTTGGCTGCTGCCCGATCTGGTGAACAGATTCAGAGTTATTCGATCAAAACTGGAATCATAGAGTCGGGTGTGGTTCGAAATTCTTTGATATACATGTATGCAAAGTCGGGAGACATAGATTCTGCGAATCAGACCTTCAAGGCGGCTGATAAATCCGACGTAGTGTCGTGGAGTGTGATGATCTGCAGCACAGCACATCATGGATGTGCGAAGGAAGCTTTGAGCCTCTTCGAGTTGATGATCAGTAGCGGGATTGCACCAAACGACGTGGCGTTTCTCGGAGTTCTTACGGCTTGTAGTCATGGAGGGCTTGTTGAGGAAGGACTCAGGTAACGTTTTGGTTTGTTTTTGTGTTCATTGTTGGTGCAAAAGGAAGACGGTATTAGACACGACTAGCTGGGCCAGAGTTTAGGGATCATTTAGCAAATGTTTACCGAGCAATAGCTTACCGATAAGAGCTATCAACCTCACTTACCTTATCGTCTAACATTCTCGGCCATCAAAATGGATTGTTGGTAAGCATCTTAAACCTGGCAAACACTTATTGGGTAAGAGTCTTTTTCATAACTTACGGGGTAATACAATTGGTCCTTGCCATGCCTCTTACAGGTAAGATTCTTGGTCCTTTCCATACTCAATCGGTAAGGTAAGTGATATCGATAAGCGCTTACCCGGTAAGTGTTCAATAAACGGCCCCTAAGTAAGGTAGGTGAAAGGATTCAAAGTTCTACGTGGGTAGTTTAGTAATTTGGCAGTTTTGTTGAAATCCTTATTTCTGTTCCGCATGACAAAAACCATTAGGTCTTGTCCGTCATGTCCGGTTCAGATTAATATAGCATAAAACATGGACAAGTTTTTGTTCTGTCCCATGGAGCGTTTGGTATACAGGATAGGACAATACATAACTAGACAGGACAAAAGTACATTTTTTCTGTCACCAACATAGGTGGAACAAAGATTTGGGAGATGGGACAAACTTATAAATTACTGAACTACCCATGTCAAATGGGATACGGAAGCCTTTCACAAGTCTTTCACCTGCCTACTTCCCTCTTGCTGGTACAGTCATGTTCAGTCCTGTCCCGGTGTATGAAATGCGCCTATGTGTTTTTGTGTGACGGTAGCCGCTAACTATATGAACAATTGTCAGGTATTTTGAAAGTATGAAAAGGGACCACGGTATTGCACCAACGGAAAAACATTGCGCATGTATTGCAGATTTATACGGCCGTGCCGGAAGGCTATCCGATGCCAAAACTTTTATCATGGACTCGGGTTTCAGTCACGCTCCAATAATGTGGCGAACCCTATTAAGTTCTTGCAGGATTCACAAGAACACGGAGATCGGGAAACACGTAGCCAAGAGATTGATCGAGTTGGAGCCTCAAGCATCTTCATCTTACGTACTTCTTTACAATATCTACAATGATGCCCGAATGGAAGAAGCAGCGACAGAGATACGAGACTTGATGAGTAACCGAAGGATCAAGAAAGAACCCGGTTTAAGTTGGATTGAGGTTGGAAATAGAGTCAATTCGTTTTTGGTTGGCGATAAATGTCACCCTCAAAGTGAAAAAATTTACGCCAAATTGGACGATTTGTTACAGGAAATCAAGAAAATAGGTTATGTAGATGAACTAGAGAAAGATGAAGTGAATCACCATAGCGAAAAGTTAGCGGTGAGTTTCGGTTTGATCGGCTTGGCTCCGTCTGCTCCTTTGAGGGTGATGAAGAACTTGAGAGTGTGTCGAGATTGTCATACGGTAATTAAGTTGATTTCGAAGGTTGAAAAGCGAGAAATAGTCGTAAGAGATCCGATTCGATTCCATCGTTTCAGAGATGGAAGTTGTTCTTGCGGTGATTACTGGTAAAGTTATTTTTTTCTTCGTGAAAATGGTGATTCCAAGCTTCGACCAGATCAATCACATGGCAAGTTGTGTACTTCAACCATGGGTGTCGAGGCAGCTTACTCGTACCTCGACTAATGCCAGGGGTCCGAAGAACTAGCCAGGAAAATCTCTAGTGGCTTTGCATGACTCGAACCGATAATCTCTAGAGAGAATCTCCAAAGGTTCAAGTCTTGTTGACAGTTGAGCTAAACCCGCAAAGCTAATTAGATATTCATGGTTTGGTTTGAAACATAACGAATTGTAAAGAGATTTTGGTTCTTCGGTCCGAAGAGATGGATAAAGCTTGGAGGGTTAGATTTATGCCGGAACCCGGCCGACCCAATCCAAAGAGTAATGGTGTTGTAAGATCTTCAAATCACTCGTATTGGGTCAAAATTGGATCAGACCTATTTGAACCCAATTTAACCCGATTAAGGGGTTGTTTGTTTACCTCTTAATAGTTTCATTAAGAGACAACTTTTGAATCGTTAAGAGGTGAATCTTGTTAATGGTTCTAAAACCCTCTGAATGATTTTGTATCATGGGCCTCCCTTAACCATTAAGCGTCATAATTTCATTGTAAACAATTACCAAACAATTATATTTTCTTTTGAATTATATCATGAGAGCTTCTTAATCATTCTGATCACTTAATCATTATCCACCAAACTATTCAACAACTGCCAAAGAGCCCCAAACTCTATATACCTCTTCTATGTCATACACACCTGTTGCTAGATATATGGTTAGCATCGTCTCTGATCTGTATTGTTGTGACAGACAAATGGTTAATTTTTTTTTTTTTTCATAAATGTATTACAATTCCATCAATAATTTTATTTTTTTCAAGTACAATTCTTGATGATGTCTTACTTTTTTCTGTTCCCAGGTAGCATAAGAGGTTAACTAACAAATAGTAACGACTAATTATTGTTTTAAGTATGTTGTTACACTCCTACGGTATGTCACAATTCAACTAAGGGGTCGTTTACTAAACGTTTATCCAGTAAGTACTTACTGGCAATTTTCCTTACCGGATAAACATGGCAAGGGACAAGAATCTTACCCGGTAAGAGCAATGATAAGAATGGGGAGTCTTACCCGGTAAGTGAGGGTGACGACTCTTACTCAGGTAAGCGCTTATCAGGTAAATTGTTGCATAAGATTCGTTTTGATGTACTACAATCTTACCCGATAAAATAAATTATAGTGTTGACTCTTGATGGTTAGCGCTTACCGGGTAAGCATCTAGGTAAACGGCCCTTAAGACGACTTGCACAAGTTGGATTGGGTTGTGATTTAATTTTTCTTTCTTTCAAGATAGTTGAGATTTTTCAAACTGCACTACGTTGGTTTGTTGTTGAAACACCTTTAACCAAGCTAGTTATATCTTTATGGATTAGTTCAATTGACAATAAAATTTAAGCCTTTAGAGATTATTTTTCCTAGTGGCCACCGGTTTGAGTCTTGCAAGACCAGTGGGGATTTTACTGTCTATCCTCTATGACTCATGGGATTAATCGAGGTACATACAAGCTTTCCAAGACACCCACGTTTAAAAAACAATCCATGTGCAACCGTAGCTAAAAGTCTTTCAAACGAGCCAATTCAATCAAACATAAAACCCTAGCCGGAAGTATAGTCTAAAGCAGTGGCGGATCCAAAAACTTTTATAGTTGGAGGCACACTTACGGGTGTAGAAAAAAAATATTCAAAACCAAATAACTCATCCGGATGAAAACGGTTTTGGGTTTTCCTTTTTGGCTTAAACGGTTCAGTTAACCGAATAAAGATAACTTAATCAAGTCGATTTTCAGTTGACTTTTTACTAATTCATCGAGGCATATAATTTTTATATTTTATATTTCAAGCAAAAACATCAGTGTGTGTTGCAAATGGACCAATTAACAATCAGGATATCAAATTGGGGGCCCTTGTCTTGTTCTTGTTGGACGCACAATAGAAAAATTTAATAAACAAATCTTTTTATAGTCTTTTTTATAAAAAAATTGATGGGTTTGTTGGGGGACTAGGATCCCTACCACCATGCACTAGATCCGTCCCTGGTCTAAAGGAATAAGACATACATAGACTTTATCGTTATCCTTATAAGTAGAACTATTTTATGTAAAAACCGTATATAATACTTTATATTTGAAAAGCAAAAACGAAAATTGTGGTTCAAATTGTATTGTATTAGCCGTACATATGTTGGGGAATGAAAGCATAGGCTTTCTATGTACATACACATATAACAAGAGGTAACCCACAAAAATCGCTTTCCCATACAAAATTTTCAATAACTTGTATTAATATCGACTTGTTTTCTTGATTAAATAGTACGCTTGATTTAACAAATCTCATCATTCTCTCTTTCTTTTCCATCTCTCTCTCGAAACAATATTGTTTTACAGAGAGATCAAGAAAGAAAGAGGGGAATGAGAGAAATCGTAAGCATACACGTTGGACAAGCTGGAATTCAGGTCGGGAATTCGTGCTGGGAGCTATATTGCCTTGAACATGGCATTAAACCCGATGGTTGTATGTCTATGTACGTATACATTAACTTTATCGACATGATTCTGATTTTTGTATGATTTCTATTCTATCTACAAAAAATGCTTAAATTTTCTCTAAAGATACCAAAATGCCAATCAATAGCTGCCTTTCGACCAAATCCACACACGTTAGGATTACTTGTCAACCTTTGATCAAATTCAATAGTTTTTTTTTTTTATTAACCTGGATATTCAACCCGCTATGCGAGCCGACTAATCTCAGGGCGACCACCTGCTTTGCAGATAACCCATAGTCACCGCATTTGAACCTCCGTCGCCACAAGAGGATTTTTATTCTTCCTTGGATTTGAACCTGAAACCTCCTGATACTTTTAATCTTTGGAACCAAGCTCAAATTCAATAGATTTCCCATCTAAAACAAGAAGTTCTAGCCTCGGAGACCGATCATCAAATGCAATCGTTATGGTTATTTTGTATTTCCTGTTCTTTTCGTAGGATCTCGCTTGCTATAATCAGTGCAATAGCATTATAAACTTTATTGTTACTCTTGTTTCTATCTAGATGATAAATCTGGCCCTTTCCCTTCTCAGCCTAAGTAAAATTCGAATTTTACGAAATCAATGTCTCAAATAAATCAGAAAATTGAAACTTTTGTGGTTTATCTACCGATTATATCTGATGAAAATTTTGTAGTGTGGGTTCTAGTGATAATACCTCATCAAGTGGGTCAAACGATTCCTTCGGCACCTTCTTCAGCGAAGGCAGTTCGGGAAAGTACGTCCCGAGGGCTGTATTTGTCGATCTTGAGCCCACGGTCATCGATGAAGTTAGAACCGGAAGCTACAGGAAGCTCTTCAATCCAAAACAACTCATTGCCGGTAAGGAGGATGCAGCTAATAACTTCGCCAGAGGACATTACACGGGTAATTCACGATCATATTCCAAAAAACAGATACATTTTGTCTTTTTAGATCATTTTTCCGCTTTCCAACTTCAACATTGTATGAACATACAACGTAATTGCAGTTGGGAAAGCAGTGGTCGATGAATGTGTCGATAGAGTGAGAAAATTAGCAGACAATTGCAGTAATTTGCAAGGGTTTATGGTTTTCAACGCCGTGGGTGGTGGCACTGGCTCTGGGTTAGGATCGTTGATCTTAGAACGCTTGTCCAACGAGTATGGGAAAACGCTGAAACTCGGCTTCACAATCTTTCCATCTCCACAGGTAAACGAAATGGAGTTTCTAGACCTGATTACCGGCCTAATTTTTGTTCTAATATCTCATCGTTTCTATTCCATTTCGTTATGGAACCCTAGGTTTCGACGTCGGTTGTGGAGCCTTACAATAGTGTGTTATCGACTCACTCGTTGATAGAACACACCGACATTGTGGTGCAACTAGACAACGAAGCGATATACGATATTTGCAAGAAGAAGTTGGATATGGAAAGGCCGACTTACAGGAACTTGAATCGCTTAATTTCTCAAACGATTTCGTCTTTAACAACTTCCTTGAGGTTTAATGGATCCATGAACGTCGACATTTCAGAATTCCAAACAAATCTGGTCCCATTCCCTCGGATCCACTTCATGCTTTCATCATACGCACCAATCATCTCATCTGCGAAGGCCTACCACGAACTGTTATCAGTTCCAGAGATCACAAATGCCGTATTTGATCCATCTAGCATGATGGCTAAGTGCGATCCAAGACACGGTAAATACATGGCTTGTTGTCTCATGTATCGTGGAGACGTTGCTCCAAAGGACGTTAATACAGCCGTCGGATCCATCAAGACCAAAAAAACGATTCAATTTGTCGATTGGTAAGTTTAATCATGTTGTTCACTTATTTGTGAGTAGATCTGAAGAACGAACAGATTGTTAATCGAGAATTCTGCGATTTTCAGGTGTCCGACGGGGTTCAAGTGCGGGATCAACAACCAAGCTCCATCGGCGGTTCCCGGTGGAGATCTGGCGCAGGTGAAACGAGCAGTGTGCATGATAAGCAACAACACCGCCGTGTCGGAGGTTTTCAGTCGGATCGATCATAAGTTTGATTTGATGTTCGCCAAACGAGCGTTCGTTCACTGGTATGTGGGCGAAGGCATGGAAGAAGGCGAGTTTTCAGAGGCTCGTGAAGATCTTGCAGCGCTGGAGAAAGATTACGAGGAAGTGGCGCAGGATGGGGAGGAGGAAGGAGATGAGTATTAATTTCCGTATCTGGTGTAAATGACTCATTTCTCCTTGTATATAGAAAAGGTCAACAGCATGTATATGCTCTGTCTACAGGGGCATAAATGACAATCTCACCTCCACATATATCAATATTGCTCTATAATTTCTTTATTGCATGTTTGCCCTTTAACATCAGTTGATACATGGCCTTAAAATTCCTTCCATCAATGAAATTGCATTAAAATTAAAATGAAATAAAATCAATTTGTTTCAATTTAATATAATTTATTATTTATTAAAATAAAGAGAACTTAAAGTTCAGAATTTCTTTTTGAAATTTAATGGAAAAAAGAAGAAATTACGCTTTTTATTTTTTTCAACCAATAGAATTGGTTTTTTTTTTTAATTAACCTTGATATCCAACCCGCTATGCGAGCTGATTAATCTCAGCACGAACACCTGTTTTGTAGATAACTCGAAGTCATCGTATTTGAACCTCCGTGGCCACAAAATTATTATTATTATTTACATACTTAAAAAAATTGTAGTAGAATAACAAAATTATAGAAAAAATTCAAACATATATTATTAATTTTGAAATAAAAAACTATTAGGATCCGTTTGGTTTGCAGGATTGTTTTTTTTTTAGGGAATTGGATTTCATAGAAGAATTTGTATTTAAAGAGATTTGAAATCATTGATATGTTTGGTTTATAGGATTTGGAATGGAATTGGATTCCATTATTTATAAATAATTTATACAAAAAATTATAAATGATTATAAAAATAGTTAAATTATATTTTTATTAATCGATTAATTATAAAATAAAATGTTTTTATCATTTTCTAAAACTTTATCACATACAATCCTATAAAATTTCACGAAATTTCGAACAACTTATAAGGATTTCAAAATCTTATGTTTGTAAGATTTCAATTAAATCTTAGTCGTTCAAATCCGGACAATATAACAAACCAAACATGGGATGGAATAGATTTGAAATCCAAATCCATTTAATTCCTGCAAACCACGGGACCTAAGGGGGCGTTTGGTTCGCAAAATGATTTCTGAAGGAATGGAATGTGTCAAAGAAATAAAAATCTGGAAGGAATTGGAATGAAATGTTATCAGGTTTGACCAAGTGTTTAGTTGGCAGGAATGGAATGTAATATGTTTAATGAATTGGAATCGATAAGCAGAAACTGGAAGCAACAGCAGTAATCGATAAGTAGAAACGGGAAGCAAGCAAAAATCGTTAAGTAGAAACTGGAAGCAACATATAAGTAGAAATCTTTAAGCAGAAACTAGAAGCAACAACAGTAATCGATAAGCAGAAACGGGAAGACGGCAGAAATTGTTAAGCAGAAACTGGAAGCAACAGATAAGCAGAAATCGTTAAGCAACAACAGTAATTGATAAGAAGAAACGAGAAGCAAGCATAAATCATTAAGCATATGATGAAACTGGAAGAGAGTATTTTTATCATTTATACAATTTTGGATGAAATAGATTTCAATTCCATCACTTTTATGAAGGAATGGTGAAATCCTCAAATGAGGAAATGTTTGAAAATTCAATTTCATTCCATCGCTAACTAAACGTTGGAATAGAATTTGGTCGATGGAATTAACCATTCCAATTCCACCAGATTCCCACGTACCAAATGCCCCCTAGAAGTTAATGTTTTTAAATTGACTTTTTGATTCTCTTTTAAAACCAGTTGCAAAAAGCCAGGGAGAGGTTATTGGGTTAAACAACCTGCACAGAACAATACCAAGTCCAGAACCATATCATAAACAAAAACAAACTACGAATTGTTGGTGATCGGTTAGCTCGACTAACGAATAGGTTTGGGTCTCTAGAGATTCTTTTCAGAGGTCAAGGTCACCGGTTAGCCATTGGAGCTTTTTCCGACTGTTGTGGGATTTTCTGACTATTCTCTATGACCCATGAGATTACTCGAAGTGAATGCAAGCCAGCTTAAACTCCACGGTTTTAAAAAGACAGGATATGTCAAAAGAAAGTTTCAGCAGGGACAGAAGAGAAAACCTACAAGTAGAATGAATGAATGAGCATACAGAGTTCAACAAACTGGCACAAAATTGAAACATCAGATATACTTCAGTAACTTATTCTCACAAAGCACCACTCAACAGATTTTGAATTCAATATCAAGGAGAAAAGCAGATAAATGTATGACAAAATCAATGGAGTAACTCTGTAACTCAAAATCCCATACCAGAACAACCAACAGTTTTCATAACTAATTGTTTCCAATGAAATACCAAAACATAGCAACCAAAATCGAGTGCCCTAACATTATATCTTCTTCAACGATTGGCCTTGGCAACCCTCTCGATCTCATCCTTCTTCTTAATGGCATAGCTGCAAAAATAAGAAATAAATGATATTGTTAAACGAGTCATGATTCATGAAACCGTAAAACATGAACACATTTAAGAGTAATTGACAAGGGTGCGTGTGGTACACAGTACACTAGACAAGACAGACAAGACAAGACATAATAAGGATCATTGTTCACATTTAGCAAAACTTTTATGTGGAACAGAACAAATATATAGTGGAACAAAGTGGAACCCTACCCCAAGAAACAAGGTGAAATAGACATGTATTTTACCAATATAACCTCAAAATAAAACTTAATTCTTAACCAAAAACATCCCTCTTTACATTTTATTCATACTTCAAAATAAAAAATTAGAAGCTACATAAACTTTTTATTTTGGTGTATGTTAAGTATCCCGACAAAAACTTTCTAATGATATATTTTGTTATATATTTTTTTAATTTAAATAAATTAATCAAAATATATAAACAACTCATTAGGGGTAAATTGGTCATTTAATATGTTCTATCCTATCCAATTCCGTCAAACCAAACACTGAACAACCGTTTTGTCTTGTTCTATCTTGTCTGCATACCAAATGCACCCTAAAGGGTTACTACTTCAAAATCCATATGCAAGAGATAGAAATCATGTAGTATTTTCTCTACCTGTTAGAAGAACCCTTAGCAGCATTAATAAGCTCATCAGCAAGGCACTCAGCGATGGTCTTAACATTCCTAAATGCACTCTCACGTGCACCAGTTGTAAGAAGATAAATGGCCTGGTTAACACGCCTCAAAGGGGAAATATCAACAGCCTGACGCCTAACAACACCAGCAGAACCAATCCTGGTTGCATCTTCTCTCGGTCCACTGTATTTGATCAGATTGTTTATTAGCATCATCTAATAATGAAAACAGGCTTACATAATTACAAGAAGCAAACATACTCCAGATTTCATTAAAAAAAGACACCCCAGATTTCATGTTAACAAACTTATTACTAAAGGAAGCATGTGTGAAGGCAGCAAAATGCACCTGTTAATGACGGCATCAACAATAATTTGGATTGGGTTGGCATCAGTTAACAGGTGGATGATCTCCATAGCATGCTTAACTATGCGAACAGCCATCAATTTTTTACCATTGTTCCTCCCATGCATCATGAGAGAGTTGGTCAACCGCTCCACAATTGGGCATTGGGCCTTCCTGAATCTCCTTGCTTGGTACCTGCCAGCTGTGTGAGGCATGTAGATTGGGTGCTTGGAAGCAGTGGCAGTAATGTAATCCTCCACCGAAAGGTCAGAAACCTGCATATGAAAACAAAAGATTTTGAGGTCGCAAGGATAGCAAAAATCTATGCTCATTAATATTCCCTATCCACCTACAGACTTTAAATCAAGTAACAATATGAAAAATAAAAGACTTGCATCAGTGTTTAACTAAGTTAATGTAGAAATATCATCATATCTCAATTACAAGCGTAGTATGTTTCACTAAATAGAACCTATATGAACATATTATTAACATTATAAGATATAATCCAGATCATCTGTTATCACCCTTACAACTTTCTCATATAGACCACATCGCCTGACAACCAAATGCAAAGACAACGAAAAAAAAAATTTAAAGATAGTAAAATGGAAAGTATCAAAATCAATGCAGCATAGAATTGAAATATACTTTGCAGGCCAATTGGCAAATTTTGCACATAAAAAATGGCTGGCAGGAACAAATAGAAAACTTATTTCAGTTTCCCTGTTTATTAGCTTGTTTTCCACTGTCAAGTTAAGGAAATTTCTCAGCTAAATATTTACATCCACAGGTTTCTAGGCTTTAATAAGTGATTTTCAGGTTCAAATAGTATGCAAACTATGGAAAAGCACAACCTTTTTTTAAGATAATTCAGAGTTTTTGGATAAATAAAGCAAACTGTAATGTCAATTGTCAAGTTAAAATCAACAAGTCTGAGGTCAATAACACCTTGAATTAGGTTTCATATCGCAAATCTATACATCGTGTAATTTTATGGTTTATTAAAACTTACAAGTTCCCGGTAAGCCAAGTTAACAGGCAACAATCAAAATCATTTCTGATGTGCTACGAAAATTACCGATCACCAGTATCTAAACAAAAATAACTCATCAACACTAGGATATTGAATGGCTTCCAACACAATGTTTCAGGCCAAAAGCAATAAATACACAGATATATACTAGAGTACCATGTTATAAACACGCATTTACGATGAAAAAAGCTTGAAGAATGTGACATAGATCTGATAAGAAATAAACCTGAACGTCATCATAGGTCCAACGGTTGAACAGTAAGACATCGCTGTGAAGCTTCCCGTCTTCAGCTAGAGGTGGAACAGCCTCCATTCTTACAACAAAGAAAATTGGGATTAAATCCAATACATCTATCAAACTCCACAAAGAAAATATAAAGCAGATTCAGTGTGATTATAATACGAAAACTAATCAGCTAACCTTGGGTTAGGGACTTGGGATGAGGAGGGTAAAGCTGCTGGTTCTGTAGTTTCTGCTCAGATATTTCGGACGTCGATGACGATGATAAAACCCTAATTAGGTTTATATCGGCTTAATGGGCTTCGTTATTGGGCTTTCCTTGGAATCACCAGAATACCAGATAGTCCACAAGTGAAAGGCCCGCACTCGGAGTCGGAGCATAATATCCAAGTCATGTGAATTCAATTGTGGACCCATGTTTAAAACTTAAAAGAGGGACAAAATTCTAGTTTATGTTAGTTAGGGTGCTTGCGATTATTTATTTTAAACAATTTATTTTTTTATAAAAAAATTTATAAATTTATTATAAGTTAGAATGATTTAACTTTTTTTTTTAAATTATTACTGGTTTGGTACCAATATAAGTTGTTTATCCAAACAATCAAAAGTGATTATTACCGGTGTCACACCGGAATAAGTCAATATGCTATTTTTATAAGCAATCTCAAACACCTCCTTAGAGCATCTTGAATTTTTATAAATAAAAAATGCAAATATTTATAAAAACTAGTATTGGAATATTTTTTATAAGAACCCCGTATCTTTTGAATTTTTATACAAAAACCTGTTTTTTTTTAACTTTGTATGAAATGACATTTTGTTAGTTTTTTAAATTAAATATTTGATAGTCATCATAGAAAATATAATAATCATTAATATTAAAAAAATACATGCAACCCACATAAGAGGTTTTTATAAGAATTAAAATTGTGGACTTTATTATATGTGTTATTAAATTGGTGAGTTAAAAGTGATGTGAAAAAAAAATACAAAAATATGCTATTACGAGCATCTCTAGTGGAAGTTATTATAAAAACCTATTTTTGTATTCTTTTTCTTGCCAAGTTATTTTTAACTCACCAATAAAAACCCATCTTGTGTGTCTCATGTATAATATAAGTTATATATGTGTGTAGATTTGGTATCACGTGAGACTAGTCTGTTTTCGTGAGACTCGTGACACCATTTTTTTACACTTAACATCACAGCAAAACCCTGTGAAGGTTATTTTTTTGTTGTGAAGGTTCGGCTTATTTATCTTCATAGCGTTTTGCTGTGAAGTTACAGGTGTAGAAACACGAGTCTCACAAAAACATGTTAGTCTCATGTAGTCACGTGAACCCAACCATATGTATGTATGTATGTATGTATGTATGTATGTATGTATGTATGTATGTATGTATGTATGTATGTATGGTAGGTGTCTGATTGGTTTGAGCTTGGATCCAAATATCAAAAGTACCAGGAGGCTCAGGTTCAAATCCAAGGAGGAATAAAAATTCTCTTGTGGCCACGAAAGTTCAAATGCAGTGACTCCAGGCTATCTGCAAGCAGATGGTGGTCCTGGAATTAATCGGCTCGCATAACAAATTAAATATCCAAGTTAATAAAAAAAATAACAATTATTGGGTGAGGTTCTCACTTTTTATATTTATCTTCAATAGTGTCTTTATTTTGAAGATTAAAAGGGTAATTGTGTAATTCGGTGAATTACATTTCGATTTTAATATTTTGTTTTATTACGTTTTCGGTTGATGTTATCGTATGGTTTTATTTGGTTTTAAGAAAAACGATAATGTTTTTATTTTTAAATAAAATATAAATTTGAAGATAACTTTAAAAAAAATTAAAAATATATCGATATTAATATTAAATTAACTATTTAAAAGTTATTGTTTTGTTGTGTAGTTTCTTTAATTCAATTTTTTTATTATAATTTAATTTATGTTCAATAAGAAAGTAATTTATTTTTGATTTAATAATATAATTTTTTTATAAAGATAATAATTAAGTATTTTGTTATAACATAATGATTATCCTAATTATATTTTAAATTTTCTATATTTAAAATGAAATGTTTATCCAGTATTTGATTATGTTTATTTGTAGTTAGTTACACGAATTCAAACATGGAGCTTTAATAAGTTGTGTTTATACATTATTTACTTGTAATCTTGAATTATAAGTAATTTTGCATCAATAAGCAGTACTTCATGTATAAAAAATGATTTTTAAAAATTTTTATCAAATATTTTTTATAATATAGTATAGATTACTAAAATATCTAATACCCTTTAAAATTAATATTTTTCTATCTTATACATTTAATTTCAAGAATTCTCATTGGTATGAATAATAATAAAAAAAATATTTTTCATATGTAATCATTTTTTTTATAATTCTCCAAATTTATAGAATTTCACCTTCTTTTTCCTATTTTCTCTTTTTTAAATAAGTCTTGGGTAGTCTGTTGAAGTCAAATCACTTAAATATTCATTTTGGATAATATGTTAGAGATGCTCTTATAATAACTATTGACAGTGTTGATTATTATAAGAAGGAACACTTTTTATTATAAAAACTTTACATTGGAAATGCTCTTACAATATGTAACGAGGCAAAATATTCCCTCTGAGGGACAATCACGCAACGAGCTTCCATTCTTAATTTGAATTATTACCCGATCTAATCACTCACTAAAATTGATAATTATTAAAATAATCATTTTTCAGGGTTGGTTTCATCTTCTAACCATTTTATTTTCATATTTATCAAAATAACCATATGTTTGCACAACCCACCTATGCAACTAGGTTTTTTCATCGATTGACATCTATTGGATGAGAGGGGAACCGAATCGATCCAATCATCTATTGGATGTTGGATTTTGCCAACCAATCCGATTTGATTAATACTTGTTAAACCGATCAAATCTAATCCAATTGATGATCGGATCGGTTCGGTTCCATCCATTGGATGCTTTATTGGATATTCAATGGATTATCGGTTGGGAATGGATCAATCCAGTGTGTTAATTCAATCTAATTCTCCACAATGATACAACTTGTTTAATCACTTTTAATACATGTTAAAACCAACACAATTGAAGTTAAAAATTTAAAGTATCACATAAAACAATTTTCAGTTTAAACAATTTGAAAATAAATTAATTGAATGATAGTTGGATAATAGTTGAATGGACAACTGATGGTCATCAAATGGTTAATTGGATAGGTAATTGGATGTTGATCAGTTCGGTTCGGTTTTGATCGGTTTTAGAATGCCACCCAATAACCGATCGATCCAAAATGGATATTGAAATTTTCAATCCGATCCAATTATGGTTGGTTGGTTCTAATTGAATTAGTCGGCTCTAATTCGATCGGTTGATTTTCTACACATCTGTATCTGCAATTGCAACCCTAGCCAAAAGAGGAAAAATATATATATTACACTTTTCTACCCCTATTTGCAAAAAAATTACATTTCTCATTGAGGTCCGCAATTTTTTTACATTTTTCATCCAGGCCTGCAAAAAAAAAAAAAAAAATTGTGGAACTAGGGCTATTTTGGTAAACCTTGTATATAATTGGCTAAGAGGTGAAACCAACAGATGAAAATGACTATTTTAGTTAATTTCATTGAAAAAATTGCCTCAAACATTAATCAATATTGTCCTTGTCTGTAAATCGTGCATTATATGGTTAAACTATGATTGATTTGTCATTTAAATGCCTCGAATAGGTTTTATTATCAACAAATAACGATTAATAGATATAGAGATAAGTTCCAGTCAACACATCTATCACATATAATACTAAACCAGAACATATGCGACCTTTGGCATTACCTAAGTCGTCCGAACACTACCAGATCCCCTCACATGTAATATAATTATTTTTGCGTTTTCATAAAATGATCACGTGTTCTAGTTCGAAACTCGACCAATAAATATAAAATTATTGAAGGGTTGTTTTACCAAACGTTTATCCGGTAAACACTTACCAAGTCACATTAATTCATTGAAAGGACATAAAATCTTATTCGCTAAGAGCGATGAAAAAGATAAAGAATTTTACTCGACAAGTGAGGGTGACAACTTTTATCCAGTTAATGTTTACCGGGTAAATTATTGCATAAGATGTCGTTTTGATGAACTAAAATCTTATCCAACAAAGTAAATGACAATGTCGAATCTTACTAGATAAGTGTTTGGATAATCAGCCCCATAAATATAATTTATATTTTTATTTAATTTTCTAGAACTAATTATCTATTTTTTTTAACGTCGTAAATAATAATTTTCAAGACACAAATTCAAACTAGCTTTGGGGGTGCCTTAAAAAGAACCAAAGTAAAGCAGCACGACTTCATTCTCCCCCTCACAATGGAGTTATCACTCTCATCTTCATCTCCCCGAGTTTATGGTACATCTCCACATTACCCAAAATCATCCATAAATACCAAATGCAAATTTCACGAGACAGTCTTCAAGTGCCCAGAGACCTCTACTTTGAGAACCAACTCTTACAGTATCAAAAGAAGCTCCACACTTGTTTCGAGCAGATGCCCAAAGCAATTTTCCATCAGGGTACGTTTAATCTATCGCTATATTTGTCTATTTCTCATAAATTGGTGCGAATTCCGGTTTAGTTTTCTGGAATTTATCCAATTGACGTGATCGTTGCTGTGAAGTTTGATTTGCTTATCCATAATATATGTTATACGTGAATAATCCGTTCCGAATTTGAAGTTGAAAGTTATTCCAGTTGACCACAAAAATTTGGGAGTTAATTATGCAATGTTTCAATTTTGTTTTTCGATTGCCATTCTTAGTTGGCTAGAGGATGAGATGTAATTTGGTTCTCGATTCCTGTTAGCTTTGCATTAGGAGCTTTCGATCGAGTAGTGATTTCAGACTTCATAATTAGGCGGATTTAACTTAGAAATGTGAATATGTATTGGGGGAGTGCGAAAGGGGATTTCCCTTAATGGCGCAACTCTTGCATTTAGGGTTTAGGTCTAGAAGGTTGAAAGTTCGTTATCCCTATCTCTGTTGTAAACTGTTTAAGAAAGGGGAGCAAGCAAATAACAAAATCTGGAGTCCCGTGGAGTATAAGTGAACGAATTACACGTTAGTTCGTTAGGGTTCTTCACTTCTTTGAAATGCTACTCGTTTGCTCTTAAAAGCCTGCAGTAAATTTTTTTAAACAAGAGAACTTGTTGCAATGTTATTGGTTCTACATTCTCTTTTAGTCCCATTAAAATTGCCATATTTGCGTTCATATAGCTTTATAATCTATTGGCTAATGCCCTCCAGCCGTTGGGCGTGTAGCTCAGTTGGCAAAGGGGCGTAGCAACTTTGCTCAAATGCACAGGTTCAAGTTCGAATCATGTGGGAGACGGGCTTGAATCCCTCTGCTAGCCTCAGCCATTGAGTCTGCTCTGAAATGCCTCCTCACATGTGGTTCCTAGGGGCCGAGTTCCTTGGGGATCGGTTGGGGTTGCTGGTAATCAACCTTTTGCGTAAATAATCTATTAAGTATTTCCTGATTGACTTATTTATAGAGAAATTTGATGATACTAGAATCCATATGAATCCCGTATTTTTTGTCGTTATTGAAGGGGTATTTTAGACATAATACAATCACTTCCCATGCTGTATGGATGAACTTTAGTTGAGACTCGCTTTCTTGTGAACAGTTTTAAACTTCGTGCTTAGTGAGAATAAATCCTTGCACTATTTTGTTGTGATTGTATCAAGAATCAAACATTTGCTTCATGGCATTTGCATGGAACTTGACCAACAGGCATGCAGTGAAGTTGGTGCTGCAGGATCCGAACCAGCATTGGATAAAGTTGCAGACTTCAAAGACGCATTTTGGAGATTTTTAAGGCCCCACACCATTCGTGGAACAGCATTAGGATCAGTGTAAGCAATTATCAGACAATCATTAGTTGTCTACTGATTGCAAGCTTTTGTGACATTAAACTGAGACTTATTTTCATTGGTTTTTGTTAATAGCTCTTTAGTAACGAGAGCGCTGCTTGAAAATCCAAATCTGATTCGGTGGTCACTTTTGTTCAAGGCATTTTCTGGTCTCGTCGCTCTGATATGTGGGAATGGTTATATAGTCGGCATCAATCAGATCTATGATATTGGAATTGATAAGTAAGCTTCACAAATTTAATACCCTCTAGTTCCTAAAAATCAGAGTCAGCTGTCTATTTTCAATATTCACTGAAAAGAGTCCCATTTTGGATTCTAACAAATATTTTGGTCCACAAAATCCCTCGCTTAAAATGCCTTCAGTATTACCAATTTCGATCAATCTTTTAAGGGAAATTGACAGAAATAGCCAACCCCATCAACCAAATTCACTTTTTAGCCATTTTTTAGAACCCCTTCCCAAAATAGCCGGTCTTTATGCAGATGCTTCATGCATTTGCGTAAAGACTGATTTCTGGGGAAAAAAATTCCTTACGCATATGCATAAGGATTCTTTACGCAAAAATTTGAATCTTTATGCAAAAATTTGAATCCTTACTAAAAAATCTGAATCTTTACTCAAAAAAAATCTTTTTTCTTTCTTTCTTTAATCTGAAATCTACTTTAAGCAAATTCGTATGACATTTGCCTAAACTCTGGCTAAAATGAGAATTCAATTGAAAAAGTGGCTCAAAAGTGAAGTTGGTTGGGGAGATCGGCTATTTTGGTCAATTTTCCCATCTTTTAAGCAGCATAAAAGATTGATTGTTTTTTTGTTCATCTTTGAAACAGAGATAAAATAAATACGAACTCAAATTTGAACTAGGAGGTCACATGTTAATACTAGAACACGATACAACATAATTTCGTTGTTTATTTTTGTTTGACTTTAATTGAATATTTTCAGGGTGAACAAACCCTATTTACCTATTGCTGCCGGAGATCTTTCTGTTCAGTCAGCATGGTTTTTGGTGTTATCATTTGCAGTAGTAGGCGTTATTATTGTTGGGATGAACTTTGGTTCGCTCATTACTTCCCTTTACTGCCTTGGTCTTTTTCTGGGCACCATCTATTCTGTTCCGCCATTTCGAATGAAGAGATTTCCTGTCGTTGCATTTCTTATCATCGCTACGGTACTTTCTGTTCCTCCTGCATTACAGTTCTGGTTTTTGCAAGGAAGATACTGTAACATATGTATCAAGTGATTAGCATTTCAAACCATCATATTGGCAATTCATTGTTAAACAATTTACTTACGGAAAATGGACTATAATTGGCAAAAAGTAGCGAACATAAAACTGTAGTTGCCAACTAGATTGCTTTTTTTGACTCATTTGGCCCGACTTATATTGTTTTTTTCACTATTTTTGTCAACTCAGTATTACTTTTGGGTTCGTCTAATACACTGGACAGGACATAACATAATAGGGATCACTGTTCCACATTTGACAGGACTTCTATATGGAACAAAGTGGAACAAGATAAAACATATCTATATTTTACCAATATAACCTCAAAATAGAACCTAATTCTCTTCTAGAACATCAAATACGCCCCCCTCTTTACATTTTATTCATTCCTTAAATTTTATTTAATGTATTTTATGTTCTTTATACTTTCATTTACTGTCCTCAAAATATTATTTTTTATACGGTTTCTATATTTTGCTTAATTTATGTAATTTATTGAATAATAATGATAATAAAATAATATAGAAAGGATATAAAATAAAAATTAGAAACTACATAAACTTTTTATTTTCGTGTCATTTTAATCGTGTTGATGAAAACTTTCTAGTGACATATTTTGTTATAAAAATATTTATTTTATTATAATTTAATAAATTACATAAATTAATCAAAATATATAAAAGATATAAACAACTCATTAGGAGTAAATTGGTCATTTTATATGTTTTGTCTTACCAAACACTGAAAAGTTGTTATGTCTTGTTCTATTATGTCCTGTCCTATCCTGTCTGGATACCAAACGCACCTTTTAGGTGCGTTTGGTATGGAGACTAGACTGGACATGACTAGACAGGCGAGAGTGACTGACGTTGTGAGGTGAAAGAATTGTTCATGAGTAGTTTAGTAGTTTACCAATCTTGTCCATCTGTCTGATTCTTGTTCCACCTATTTTGGTTGGACCCACTCAGTCTTGTTTTGTCCCAACTTAACTGTCACACACCAAATGTGGGACAAGAAGTTTTTTTTCTGTCATGTCTCTTCTTGTCCTTCGTGCCAAAGGTACCATTTGCATTTTTCAATGTTGGTTGTTTAGATCCCGACCGCCAAGTACAATGGTTTGAAATGCTAATCACTTGATGGATAAACATATTGAATACTCTCTATGTACCACAACAACAACCCGCTTTCCATAACTGAAAGTCGATGATGTATGCTAAGTAGGGATGATGTTAAATGCATTCCTGTGCGTAACTATGCAACTTCTTTAGGTGAGAGGTTTTCTTCTAAATTTTGGCGTATATTATGCCGTAAGAGCTGCTCTGGGACTAACGTTTCAATGGAGGTTAATTCTTGTTGCTTTATGTTACAATCCATATTCCCTGAAAATTGCAACACCGTACCTTTTGTCGGATGTCCCGTTAAATTTGTAGCATTTCCAATATGCAAATATTTCGAAGTTCAAATTACCTATATGCCTATTATCAACATTACAAATAAATTGCTAGTATTGATTTTGGTCCACAAGGTTGATTTACTTGCAATAAGTGAAGCGTATTCTAGATATTTGACAAATAGTAAAACATTTACTTTACTTTAAACCTCGATCATTTGTTAAATACTGCAATTTTCATGGGACATCTCTTTCATATGGTAGCTCGTTATGTTTGGAGTAAATCTATTAATTTCAATTTTCATAGCTCACCGGTGGCTTTCATCACAACGTTCGTTACATTATTTGCGTTAGTGATCGCCATTACTAAAGATCTTCCTGACGTAGAGGGTGACAGAAAGTAAGTTCTGAAATTTAGAACTTAGATAATTTTTTTCCATTTTTCCGCATTTTGAACACCTTGCACTTGCTATCCAGGATTTATTATTCAGTTGTTTTTCTTTCATTCATGATATCGCTTTTCTAGGTTTCAAATTTCTACTTTTGCAACAAAACTTGGAGTACGAAACATTGCGTTACTAGGGTCCGGACTTCTGCTGATCAATTATATTGGTTCTGTTGCGGCAGCATTCTACATGCCTCAGGTGAATAGAAATGTCACTAGTACCTTTCAATAATAATGAGATAGGGGAAGGTTCAGATAAGAAGACTAAATACCGTGAGAAGGTAAGAGGGAAGGCTCATGTATGAATCATTTAAAAGGTCCATTTGTAGATGCATATATGAACCCATATGAATGATCTGTAACATTGGTTCACATATTCATCATCAGATAAATATTCTTTTTGGATTTTTTCAATGATTCACATATGAACCTTCCCTTCTCACGAGGTTTAGCCTTTTTTTTAATGAACTCCCCCCTAGGGGCAATGGGCAAAATTGCTTAAAAAGAAAACATTGCGAGTAGCAATGCCATCTCAAAATGGAAACTTCTCCGACTTCCTTGGAGCTGCAAGGATGCCCACCTTCTTATCTGTCTGGCTAAAGCCACATGGACATCTCATTTCTTTTTAATGCGGATATGAACCCAAATTTTAAAATGGTGGTTGATCAAATGCAGGCTTTCAGGGGAAGCTTGATGATACCATTCCATGCTATCTTGGCTTCATGTTTGATTTTCCAGGTTTGTATAATCTCCGTAACTTGATCCCTCTTTTACCCAAAAATGCACCGTCTCAAACCTTCTTCCAGATAACCTCGTGGAGTTAGCACAACTGGCAATGAGGCTTGGGCCTTTGGGGATTCTCCTCAGAGGTCGCCTGTTCGAGTCTTGCAAGTTGCAAGGCCACTGGGTATTTTCCCGGCTGTTCTCCAGTCCCTCGGATTAGTCGAGATATGTGCAACTTGTCCCCGACACCCATGGTTAACAAAAGAAAAAACTTTGTCCAGACCAAACAGATTATTTTATTAAATAGTGAAATTTACACGGACAATGAATGTTACGTGAAGAAGAAACTGCATTAATGCAAATTGAGTAATGGCGTTTGTAAATTAGCAACAAAATTCATGTCGATTTTGTGTTTAGAAACAGAAAGTAGAGACCAAATACATATCTTTTGCCTTTTAATTGTGGATGTGCTTGTAAAAGTGATAGGTAGAATTGTTTTAGAAGTATCTATACACGATAAATGCATCAAGTAACTGATGATACAATTGTTTTATGCAGGCTTGGGTACTTGAGCGTGCAAATTACACCCAGGTAACACTTGTTCCAAAATTCCAGGACTTTTGGTGATAATTTGTTTTTTTTTGAATATATGATATTTATATACGGCAAAACTCACCCGCATTCTTAATTGAACCCGCATTCTTAATTGAACCCTACCTTCAAGCAGGTTGGACTCTAGATACCATTGGGCCAATAATTGTTTTTATGGCCATATACATGCAACCAATAGAGCCCGTTTGGTTTTACTTTGGTCCTGTTTGGTTTGCAGGAATAGAATGGATTTCGGGGAAGTTGGATTTCAAATCCATTTCAATCCATGTTTGGTTTGTTGGATTATTCGGATTTGAAATCCTAGTATTTAATTGAAATCCTATAAACATAGGATTTTGAAATCCTTATTAGGGGATGCTCGGAATTTAACAGGATTTCATAGGATTGTATGCAATAAGGTTCCAAATTTTTTTGAAAACACTGGTTTTGTAATAATCGATTAATAAAAATGTAATTTAATTATTTTTATAATTATTTATAAATAATGGAATCCAAAACTACAAACCGAACACACTAATAATGATTTCCAATCCATTTCAATCCGAATCCCTCGAAAATAATCCTGCAAACCAAACGGATAATGTTTTTGAGGGAATTGGATTTTGTAGAAGGATTTGGAATCTTTGATGTGTTTAGTTCGTAAGATTTGGAATGGAATTAAATTTCATTCTATATAAATAATTTATAGAAACAAAGTATAAAAATAATTAAATTATTACAAAAGTAACAAAACAAGTGTTTTTAACACATTTTAAAACATTATTACAAACAAATCTTATGAGATCCCGTGAAATACCAACTTCTCCCATGGGATTTCCGAATCCGATCCCATGTTTTTGGGATTTCAACTTCGGAATTTCCTTTGAACCGACCAACCACGTTAGATTCTTGTATTTCATGTATTAAGAGTTGCAGGGTTTTAACGTTTCCAGCACTTTGACTTGCAGGAGGCGATAGCAGGGTTCTACCGTTTTGTATGGAATTTATTTTATGCAGAGTACATCGTATTTCCCTTCATTTAATTTATTATATGTAATATTATATATATATATATATATATATATAATTAATATTCAAGAGATATATATACCAACCACACTCGACTTTCTTTTTATCTCAAAGAAAGAAAGGTGAAAGGCGACTTCTTGCACTCTATCTGATGTACGAGTTACGGGTCTTTGACTTTACGCTAAGGACAAACATGTTTGACTTTTCATTAAGGAAGAAGTCAAAATTGTCAAAATGTGACCAAGTTTTTTATTGCTTGATGTACAATCGTTTTGTTCTTTCCATTTTCATGACAATCTACGTGTCATTGGTTGATTTTGATATGATATTTTTTAATCCAATCAATAATTATTAGTTGTGTGTCCACGCAATGTGGCGGGAGCTTTGAATTTTAATGATTTTGAAGTTTCATTGATTTTATTATAGAAGATTTAACGATGATATACGTTACATTTGGTCTTTACGTATTAATACAATTTGAATAAATAAGAGTTATGGTTCACATTACAGTCCATCGATGAAAAAATTTGTATGACAGTTTAAAATCCAATATATATAAAATCTAACATATTTAAATGACTCCACAAATGTGTTCGATTTACACCAAGAGCAAAGAATCAAGAGATCGAAAGTTCTAGAGCAATTGAATGAGAGATAAATGGGAGAACTTTTATTAACTTATGTGAATATCAGTTTGAATTTCACCTTGGGTGATGGGGAGAAGACATAAAGGTATGAGAGGGTGAAGACATGAATGAAAAATGTCAAAAGTATCTTGAGAACATAAAAAGAAAAAGTAATAATGCGCATTAGTAACTTGTATTTAATGTATTATGAGTTGTTTTTAAGACTTTAAAACTTTGTGCATAAATATATAATACGTTATATGTTAAAAGTTGTTTTTAAGATTTTTTATTAATCTGATTTATAAGGTAGTATAGATAATATATATAATTTAATGATTTGGTATCCGTATTATCAAAATTCAAATTTAGACTTAAACATGTACGTAATGATTCTAATCGATTTCAAACCGGGTATTTTAAGTACGAACGATTAAAAAACCGAAAAATTACCAAAAGTGGAAAGAAATAATAAACACATGTTAGTTTCAAGAAATCTTGAAAACCCAATTTAAATGAAATGCTCTCATGGTGCTTCTATATTTGGCATGCATGCATTATCCATAGAATAGCTTTTCTTCCTCATGTTACTTCTTTCACCATTAGTATTCCCAAATCTAAAAGATGATGTTTTGGGTGACAAACACACTTCCTCCAACGCCTGGAACTGTAGCTCCGACGGGTAATCCCGTACGCACCCGATCCGGGGCCCGGCTCCGGTCGACCACCGGCAACTAAGTTGCTTCGCCAACTGAAGAGACTTTGTTTCTTTATGTGAGTTTATCCTGTTCATGATCTTCTCTTCTGGGATCGATTTATCGTACGCATCTTCCCTGAAATCGAACAAGTTTCGTTTCGAAACCATGAGTTCGATACTCGATAAAAAATCTTCTGTTGTTTCGTCATCGTCATCGTCGTCGTCACTATCGGGTTCGAGCTCGGGTTCAGGTTGAGATTCCGGACCTTTCTTCTGGAAGGCCAAAATGATGTCTTCCTTTTTTGGGATTTCAAGTGCAGTGATCTTTGGATTCAAACCTCTTGACAACAATGGTGGACAAGTGCCGTGCCTTTCCAGCGACTGTTTAGAATCTTTGCGGTCAGTTTCTTCTGTAGCTCGAGTGATATCAGGCTCGGAAACGCTGTTTCGCATCTCGTATCCCGTCACTTTCTCGTCATTGATTTCTTCCTCATCTTCTGGGCTTCTCTGCATGATCAAAAGCCGATCTTAACCAGCGTTCGAGTTTAATCATGAAAATATTTTTTTTACAGATTCATTAGTACCTTGACAGTTTGGATATTAATCTGGTGTTGCTCGAGAAACGACATAAACGTGTCAAAGTTTTCTTCGGTTGGGAGGTAATGTCCGCTGTGAGGCCAGACCGCCTATCGACTTGAAGAAATTAACGTTAACCACACTTCAAGATTACGCATTTCTAACCAATTTGAAATGGTAATTCGAGATTTTAGTTATATAAACACACCTTCAAGATCCCGTCTATAACCACTAACCGTCCGGCCGACAATGTAGCTCCACCAGCCAGAAAACTCGAATGCTGAAATTTCCCTTTTTGCTTCATTCCGACATACAGAATATTCGACGTGCTAAGCACGAATATCCACTTGCTACCAGCCGGCCCCGATCTTGTGTCGAGAAGCTTCCGGCTCAGTTTGTACATGAACTTCCCGTCCTCCACTGTAGCTTCATACGCCTCCCTTTCTATCTGCAAACAAGAAAAAAGGTTCAATATCGAGTTTAGTGTGATTACTACAACAAAACCGCTTTATAGGACGTCTAAAATGTCCAGACCACCATAGTCCCAGACTGCGAGAGTTTATAGAACCAAACAATTGTGCATCGTATGTAAAGATTTTACAACCGGATGTTAGAACGTATCTGGGCATCCTAACAAATTTTTTAGGACGTTTTTGAAATATAGTATTAGCTTTTTATACAACAATTTTATATGTGTCTTATTAAACACGTTTTTTATATGACACTTTTTCAATAATGTCATGTAAAAGACTAATATGACGTTTTATTTCGAAATTGTCCTAGAAAGCTTGTTAAGACACCAAAAAGTGTCGTGTCAACTTATTGTATAAAGCAGTTTATTGGTATATTTAGACATTTTTCACGTCCTATAAAGCCACATACACAGACTATATAAAACTTACGGGACTGAGATACGAGATGCATTGCTGTTGAAGCTTCGGCCGTGGGCATTTTTCAAGACTTACTTCTCTGCCTTCCCCTACGTCAAGCCTAAGATTGTGTCATAAACTATGTAGCTTAAGTCGACTTTGGGGCCTTTTACCAAACGCTTACGTTCCGAATGAGTATTGTAAGGATCTAGAATCTAGCCCGGTAAGTGATGGAGAAGACTCTTACCCAGTAAGCGCTTACCGGGTAAAAAAATACTTACCAACATTCCGTGTTGATGGCCGAGCATGTTAAGTGATAGTGATGATCTTACCAGTAAGCGTTTGGTAAACGACCCCTTAATCTGCTTGCTTTTTTATCGTTTTTTTGTTCCCGATCAGATTCAATCTTACCAATAGAAAAAGGGTTGTGTACTCTGGCATTGAAGCCATTTGACGTAATAAAAATGAAGATTATGACCATAACGGTGTCGGGGATCAATCTGCTTCCACAAAAACGAAACTTAATCACTAGACTTTATCGTAAAGGGTTACTCGAGTTATCAAGAGCGAAAGACGTACCGCTTCGAGCCAATGTTGTAAGGCGAGTTTACATGCCTTTGCATGCTGTGACAACCCTTTTCCAACCTGCAATGGAAAATGCAAGTTTAAAGCTCAAATGTGTTCTTATTAAAAGGCTAATAAAAAGATTTACTTTTTGTGTCCTATTAGCATGCCCAACTTCGCAGATAGAACTTGTTAGGTCGTCTAATTCCGTATTAACAACTTATTGTAACGTCTTAATATGTGATGCCGACTTTCGGTCCTATAAACAGCAAGTACTACAGTCTACACATATGAATTCAAAGGGTGCGTTTGGTACGCTGGACATGACATAATAGAGAGCATTGTTCCACGTTTGGCAAGACTTGAATGTGGAACAAAGGACAGATGTGTTCCACCCCTACCCCATGAAACAAAGTGAAATAGACCTATATTTTACTGCTATAATCTCAAAATAAAACATAATTCTCTTCTAAAACATCAAATACCCTCTTTCTTTTACATTTTATTCATTCTTTAAATTTTATTCATTGTATTTTATGCTCTTTAAACTTTCATTTTACCATTCTCAAAGTATTATTTTTATACGATTTTTTATATTTTGATTAACTAATGTAATTTATTAAATATTTAATAATAATAATAATAAAATAATATAAAAAAGGTATAAAATGAAAATTGAAAAAACACATAAACTTTTTATTTTGGTGTGATTTTAGTCGTCTTGACAAAAACTTTCTAATGATATATTTTTATTATAAAAATATTTATTTTATTATAATTTAATAAATTATATAAATTAATCAAAATATATAAAATATATAAACAACTCATTAGGGATAAATTGGTCATTGATCCGTTCTATTCTTTCAAGTTCTGTCATACCAAACGTTGACAACTGTTACTTTATATTCTGTCTTGTCCTATCTAGTCTGCATACGCACCCTAAAAGAGCCCTTTTGTTGTAGGGGCTATTTTTTTGTGAAAATTTATGTACCTTTGCGGCTCGGGTTCTTGCTCTTGACCAACGTGAAACAGCGGTCTCTGGTTTTTCGATTTGAAAGAATGATACCGAGCTGCACTTTAGCACGGCAAAATCTAACAGCTTCCACCTACAGAATAAAACGTCAAACTTTCAATACTTCAGCAATCCCACCTCTTACGATTCTACATCTGAGAATATGTGAAACCCCATTAGGTTACTCTCCAAAAGAGTTATCACCCGGACCACCACCAAAGGGCTTTGCCCCTTCAAACTAAGTCAAGGGTGCTGCCCCTAGAACCCTGTAAGGCGGAGCGCCCCTGTTGACCCCCGCCATATGACGATATCCGACGATCTTGGGTTCAAGTTAGCTTATACGAGTGTGCATACTGCACCTCCTAACCCGTATTATAGCTTAAGTATCAACTCCTTCATTCTTTTCTAAATCCAATTACACAAGAATCACCAGCATTCCAAGTCTAGCCGATGTGGGCCTCTAATACTGTAATCTATGCAAAAACGTTGGTAATCAACTACGCGTTGCAAGAAAATGAAAGGCAACATGAATGTGAAGAGTACTAACCATCTATGCTCAACAAGTATGGCACAATCAGCTAACTGTCTTCTGGTTCTGAAACTTTTGTATGTTTTCTGCAGCTTCAATGCTGCAAGATGACGGTTCATAAGAGGGTCCGGCAACGGAGATTCCGGCCCAAATATGTTCGATTCCGGAGTTGGATTTTCAAAGGCTTTTGCAGGCATAGAAGAAGAAGGATCAATGGGAAGAACAGTGTCCATTTTCCTCCCATTAAAGCTCAAAGACCCTCGAAGTACCATCTTTCTGGAATCACCAATTTCATCTTGGCAGCCTTAGATTATTCATGGTAATGGAAGCCAAGACACTCAACTGATCAATGTTCGCAAATGAGCATGAAATATATATATATAATATGTATGTATATATATATATATATTGTTATTTGTATAAACAAATTGAGGGTTTAGGTACGTCTGAGATCAGCAGCCTCTTCTTTAACCTGGTATATGGAAGAAAGACAAATTCAATAAAAAAATTCAGTGATTTCGAATGTCAACTTTGAAGATAACCCATAATTAAACGAAGTTTGGTGAAACATCTACATCTCTCTTCACCCATTGACTTTATAAATTAATGTGTTGGTTAATGCAATGTTTATACAGTGTTGTTTCATATCATAAACGTTCATGATTCTTTTTGGAAGAAAGAAGTCTTGAATGTTTCACATGTGAAAAAACACTATAAACATTGCGGTTTTAGAGGTGTTGTTTCACTCATGAAAACTGGTTTATAAGTTTGTATGGATGATTGTTTTTAGAGTGAAAAATGCAGTGTTTATACGGGAAACCTTTAAGATTTTTTTTGTGGATAAGAAAGTTATGAAACATTGTATAAACACTACATTTTCAGACTGGTTTGTATGAGTGATTGTTTCTAGTATGAGAATATAGTGTTTATAAAGTGTTGTTTCATATATTGACGATTGTTTTGTGTGTGAGTCATACGTTTTGTCAGAAACATGACACTCTATAAACACATATAAGAACCGACTCATGAAAACTGGTTTGTAAGTGTGTATCGATGATCGGAGGGATTCTTACTAACTACAAATCACAAATGTCCATTAATCCAAACAAAACCTCACTAATGATAATCTGGTGTATAATTAATCAACAAACACAAATCGATAACAAAATGAGACACAGAAGATAATCAAGTATTACATCATCAGACTAATCTAATGGCCACCATTAACAATCGAATCCAAACCAACGCAACCCATGACCTAAAATGGAAGATTTTGATCACCCATTTTCAATTTTTCAATCAGAATCAAAAACTAAGGAATACCCACCAATTTATATATCAAAACAAACCAAACCCAGATGGCAAAATGCAAGATCATCGATGGCAGTTTCCGAATTTCAACAAGAAATCATACAGAAATCATTACCTTATGTAGCTATTTGGGGGTGTATTCCTTAATTTGAAAAGAATCAAGAGAAGAAGATGCAAAGGGGGGAGAAAGAGAGAGAAAGGGTGGGTCACATACACAGAGAAATACAGAGAATTATGGGTGAAAATGGTGGGGTTTGAATGTTGAGAGAAAGTAGGGTAATGTGGGTTAGCTGGAAGGGTATTTATGATCACGATTAATTTAGGGCACACACAGTGGAGACAAATGGCGAATTGGAGAAGAAATAGGAGTGGTTCCAACCACGTGGCGTTGATAATGGTGACTTCAATGAATTTGCAGGTCGACGAAGAAGGGTAAAAATGGATTCGTCTCGTTTTACATGTTTTATTTGCTACGCTCTACCCTCTTTCCACCCCACCCCACCTCTCCTCTCTGTTTTGTATCTATTTTCAATTATTTTATCTTTCTTTAATAAATATAACATTTTTTTAATATATTATTGTCACGTCAATCCATACTACCTTATAAAATAGATTTATCAAAAGTCTTAAAAACAATTTTTAATGCATAAAGTACTATGTATTTATGCACAAAGTCTTGAAAACAACTCATAATGCATTAAGTACTACTACTTTATGCATTCAGTCTTAAAATCTCTTAATCTACAATTAAAATAACATATAGTACAAGTTCAGCTTGTGGTACATCATGACCCAATGTGCAGTTTTTATAGTGCGGTATTTGATTTTCATACATCAAAAAGGCTTGTCGCGTTATTTGATTTTATGTCTTACGGTTTAGTATAAAGTTGGCTTTCACGTGAGACCTGTAAAACCATAAAATAACTTTGAAACTTCATGGAAAAAAAATTGTGAAGGTACAAAAACACCGAACTTTCAGCAAAAACACTGTGAAGATTTAATGTTATTTATGTGGTCTCACAAGACTCACGAAAATAGTCTGGTCTCACATGATCGTAAGTCTCTCTCTCTATATATAGGGGGGGTGTGTGTATGAGGTTGGGTTCTGGTGAGAAATATACGAAGAGAACTTTACTTTTGAATCAATCATAATTAAATGTCAACACTAATGGGGTGCACCGAGATGCACCAGATCAATTCCATTTTAAAAGTGCAATTCATAGGTGGACATGAAATTAAAAGTGATCAATGGTTTAAATCTCTTCTCAACATAATTTCATTTCTCACACGATCTTTCGCCTATATATATATATATATATGTATGTACAACATTACATATCATGCATTGAAAAATGTCGTGGCCTCATTGTTTATTCTAAGGCTTGAGGCTTGACTTTGTCATCACATCACGTTTCATGTCATTTAGAACCTTAATCACAATACGCTTACTTTTTTATAAATTTTTTCACATTCTCACTATGTTTTTGTTTTCTCTACTTTTCTCTCTCCGAAAGTTTTTGTACAAGTGGGCCTTCTATGAACTATGACAGTTCGAATGATGAACGGTCTCGTGTGCAAAAATATTGTTTGTTGTCGGTACAGTAATATTATTTAGCAATAAATTTCTTTTTGCCAGGTTGCTTTAAAATACAACTGCTTATACACAAGTTTTAAGCAATTATACAATAAAAGATCATACAACATCAACAAACGTTAACATGTTTTATGTTTAATAAATATTTTAGAGTATGCTTATTATTAATTAAAATATAGCATAATTCGAAATACATAAAAGAATAAAAACAAAACCACAATAAATCAATCACAGGTATTGGACTTCGGCCTAGTTGGATCATAGTCTATCCTTAATCAAGCTTCGAACCCAGAACTGTATTACGGTATGTTTATTTATGAGAAAGACTGCATGTCCTATATGATTAAAGAAAGTTCAGTCTGATTTGATTGGCCAGCTTCGAGCATAAAATCAAGTTAAGGTTAGTAGGGATGGCATACGGGTGAACCCGTTAAGTTAGTTGACACGTTATTTTTTTGTGGTAGAAACAAGGTTCTAAACGCTTAGTGTGGAGTGACTTCAAGACCAAGTCTCAAGCCTTATAAGGCACGACGAGGCCACAATATTTTTCAAGATGCGGCTTATGGCGGGAGAATCTTTGTATTATATAATAGGGAAAATTACACCAAAATGGAACCAACTTTCACATGATTCCTATTTTGGGGAACGAACTTTCAAAATCGTCATTTTGGGGAACCAACTTTCACCTGATTCCTATTTTGGGGAACCAACTTTCAAAATCGTCATTTTGAAGAATCAACTTGCACCTAATTCCTATTTTGGGGAACCAACTCGCAAAATAATTATAGAAAAATGGGAAAATTACACCAAAATGGAACCAACATTCACTTGATTCCTATTTTGGGGAACCAACTTTTAAAATCGTCATTTAGGGGTCTCTATCGAACTTTTTGTTTATTCAAGGGTCTGATTGATCTGTTGAACAGGTAACAGATAATTTAAGGGTCTCTATCAAACTTTTGGTTGGATTTGCCAAATTT